TTTTGAAAGGCCTTTCCTACGAAGCCTGTGCCTGATATACCTGGACGACATCATCGTTCGTCAAAAGAGTTTTGAAGAACATTTAGAAAATCTTAGGAAAGATGCTTCAGAAACTGAAAGAAGCCAATTCTGAAGCTGAGTCCCGCTAAATGCAAATTGTTCCGAAAGGAAGTGACTTGGGACCTAGACATGTCTCTTGCAGAAGTTGTGTGCTGCACGGATCCTGAAAAGGTATCAGTCGGTTAAATCCTGGAAACGTCCCAAAAATGTTCCATCAGCTGAGAAGCTTCCTAGGGCTTTGCACCTACTATAGAAGGTTCGTGAAGGACTTTTCTTCCATCGCAAGACCCCTTCACAAGCTGACAGAGAGCAAGCAAAGATTCTTGTGGACAAAAGAATGCGAGGATGCATTTAACAACTTAAAGGAGGCTTTAAGATCTGCACCAATCCTAACGTATCCTCAGCTCGACCGACCATTTATTCTCGACACCGACGCGAGCAATGAAAGTGTCGGTGCTGTTTTGTCCCAAGAAATAAACGGCCAAGGACGTGTAGTGGCGTACTGGAGTAAGTGCCTGTCTAAACCGGAGAGGAATTATTGTGTCACCAGGAAAGAGTTGCTCGCCATAGTCAAAGCTGTAGAACAATTCCATCACTATCTATACGGCAAAAAATTCCTGCTCCGCACCGATCATGCATCATTGACCTGGCTTTTAAATTTCAAGAATCCTGAGGGTCAAATAGCCAGGTGGATACAGAGACTCCAAGAATATGATATCACTATCCGTCATCGTAAGGGATCATCACACGGAAACGCCGACGCCCTGTCTAGAAGACCTTGCCAAGAAAGCTGCCGATATTGTTCCAGGGTGGAAGCGAAATACGAGCTGCTGACTCCGATCGCAAGACAAATTACAACATCAACATCGGCTGATCGAGAACCGTGGAATGATGATGAAGTCAGGAAAGACCAGCTGGAAGACCGCGACATTAAACCCATAATTGATTTAATGGAGTCATCAACCAGAAAACCTACCTGGCAGGGCATTTCTATCTGTAGTCCTACAACCAAATAGTATTGGGCACTCTGGGATTCACTTCACATTCGAAACGACGTCTTATACCGGAAATTCGAATCGGATGATGGGAAGACGTTCCGATGGCAACTGATACTTCCAAGATCCCGGATTCCTGATGTCCTTAAAGAACTACATAACAGCCCTACAGGAGGTCACTTTGGAATTATGAAGACCTTACAGAGAGTTCGTGAGCGCTTTTACTGGAATAATGCAAAGGATGACGTGCAAAAGTGGTGCCGATTTTACGATGCCTGTGCAGATCGGAAAGGACCGAGGAAACGCAGCCGAGGCAAGCTGCAACGTTACAACGTAGGTGCACCGTTTGAACGTATCGCCTTTGACATCTTGGGACCTCTGCCACGAACTGCTGATGTCAACAAATACATACTCGTTGTATTGATTACTTCACCAAGTGGCCTGAAACTTATCCTATTCCTGATCAAGAGGCTGTCACAGTAGCTGAGGTAATGATACAGCACTGGATTTCCAGGTTCGGAGTGCCTCTTCAGTTACATTCCGATCAGGGAAGGAATTTTACCTCGGCAGTAATCAAAGAACTATGCAAACTACTCGGCATTGACAAAACTCAAACGACGCCATTACATCCCCAGTCGGACGGCATGGTAGAGAGGTTCAATCGAACCATCGTTAATAACCTCTCATTAGTGGTTTCCAGAAACCAACAGGATTGGGACAAGAAATTACCACTGTTTTTACTGGCTTACCGGAGTGCTGTCCACGAGACTACCGGCTATTCCCCAGCACAGATGCTCTTCGGTCGTGGCCTTCGTCTGCCTTGTGATCTCTTGTTTGGTCGCCCTCCGGATGCTCCTTCATCGCCGGAGGAATATATTCAAGATCTCCAGGCCCGGTTTGAAGCGATGCACAACTTTGCACGAGAGCGAGTCAACTTGGCGACGGAGACGATGAAGACCCGCTACGACACAAGAGCTACTGAACATCAGTTCCACGAAGGATACAAGGTGTGGTTGTGGAATCCGACTCGACGGAAAGGACTTTGTCCAAAATTACAGTCACCTTGGGATGGTCCGTACACAGTCCTAAACAGGCTGAACGACATCGTGGTTCGGATCCGTAAGTCTTCGAACTCTAAACCTAAAGTCGTTCATTACGACAGGTTAGCTCGTTACTATTTCCATAGTACATAATGTAAATAATTGTAGATAGTATAAGACCATGGTCCATTTTGTTTTTAAATGTGTATTTGATTTGATTTGTATTTAGTATTTGATTTGCGTTTAGTATTTGATTTGTATTTGATAGCGTTTGATTTGTTTTATTTATTGCATTTATTGTTCATGTTGTTTATTATTGTAATGTAATGCTTATTAATGCATTTATGCCACAGTTGTAAGTTTAGCTTCCTGTCCAGGGATTGTACTGGCCGGGACGTGCAGTCCTTGGGAAGGGGGCAATGTTGCGAATTTGGTATTTAAAAAGCTAATGTTAGTTCAATTATAAATTAAATAGTTTTATTTCTCGCGTAGTGCAGCGCGTGACGAATATTAAAAGAAAGCTAAGCCGGAAAATTGAAAATACAAGAGCTCGTGCATTAAATAAATAAATATCTCTTTTTGATTTCGAGAAAGTACTGGAAAATTCTAGCGCGTGATTTTAAAATCTTATAAAAGGAGGAAAACATCTCAGTTCGTAGTAGTTGCTTAGTTTGTTGTTGTTTAGAAAACTGCTCTTGTTGATTGTAGCGAATTCGCGGATTAGCTTTCTTTAGCTGTTTTGAATTACGTTCTATTGGACATTTGAGTAGTTAAAAGTTAACTACTGTGAGATATTGTAATACTGCATGATAATTTGAGAAGATTTAAGCATTTTTGTTGTGATAAAAATAATTTTTTGTTCATTTTTCAACGGACTTGTGCATTCATTTCATAACGAACCCGTACGCACGCAACAATATTTAATAAATAAAGGTAAGACACAAAATGTTAAAAAACGCCGCTTTAGACGTAATTTAAAATCTGAAAACTTTTTTTTAACTTTTTTATTTTATTTTATTTCTGATCAATTCGGTGTTCCCCCCCCCCCCCCACACATTTAATCGACTAAAAGTGAATATAGGTGAAATATTGGATGGAACTTGAGCGTTACGACTATTTGATTAGAATTGACTTTTAATACGATATCCCGTTTCCTATACCTGTATTTCGAAAGTTACTAATTTTCTCTCATTATATCAGCAACTTAGTTAAGAGTGGGTGTGAATACAAGTAGTCTGACTTCCGCACGAGAAAAATTGACCGGAATATTTAATTTTAAAATTTTGATGTCATTTTCAGCTTGTCTTGAGGGATTGATTAATTAAGTTAGAGTAATTACAAAAAAGGGGCGTTTATTGGACGTACATGGGATTCATATGACGTCCACATTAGATATTGTTTTTAATTGCATTTTACTTTCTTTTTCATAAGAACTATTTTTGGCGGCTGGCCACACAAGCGGCTAATACAGATAATCTCTGTAACGTTATAATCTAGTATATATATATGAAGAAGAATGTATGTTTGTTTGTTCGTGAATAACTCAGTGACTACTATAGCTATCGTCACCAAACATTCTACCATTCTTTTCTGGGTCCTGGAAAAGGTTGACGACCACTTTTCTCAAGAAATAAATAAATAGATAAATTTAAAGAAAAAAATAAAAATAGAGTTAAAATCAGAGATATTAATTAAAAGCTCTGAAAACGCTAATTTTCCCCTTCATTTTTCCGAGTTGCAACAGTCTCGCACGCTGGAGATAAAATTCTGCTTTATTTCGAGAAGTGTTGCTACTGCTGGCTTTCAAATCAGTTTGTTAGCAAAAAATTTATAAATTTTACGAAATATTAAATAAAAATACCATTGTCAAATTAAGACACAATAATACTCCGAACAAATACTAATTCAGAAGTTAATACTAATTCAGAGACTAAATACTAATTCAGAGACTGAATACGACTCTGGCGCTAGGTAAAAGATTGCTTAACAACTTAAGCTCTATGGAAACTTTTGCTTCCCCACGACCAGATTTCTCCAAACCTTAGAGTTTTTGAATGCATTCTACGCATCTGGGTGATTAGATGTACCAATAGTACATCTTCTTTTAGATACAAACGTGAAAGGCCTAAGGCATACTTGATCTATTGGTGATAACTCACAGTAGTTGGTACCACATACGAGTGAAGGTAAAGGTTTACGATCATTTGATTAGAAAGACGAAAATCATTAAGAACTGCGTGCCATTGTTGCTGATATAATGAGAGAAAATTAGTATATTTTCCTTTCGAAATATTTTATGTGTGTTCCATATCGCATCAGACTGAAAAATGTATGACTCTAAGTCGTATTTTTTGCATCGTTACTAGAAAAAAATTACAGCGGTATCGTCCTCTCTGTTGTTAGATACATTACTTACTTAACTAACTTAACTGGCGTCGAGTACTTCCTCTATTTTTAAATAAAATCTTATACTGTAAAAATTTTTTCTTTTATGACATCCATTATCTTGCTTGTGAATTGTTAAAAATAAAATGATCATGTGATCAGACGGCGTGATATTAACGGTCGTCTGTATTCTTTTCCGTCAGGCCTTGCGGTAAATGTTTATGTAAACAAATCTTTAGAATTCTATGTAACGTACTTTTCTTGGCTTACTAGGCTAGTTTTTTATTCCCTGTTCTCGGTTTAATTGCGCTTGGATTTTTCAGTCTAATGTCTTTTTGTGTGTGATGTAAATAAAAATAAGAAAAAAAAAAAAAAAGAAAAAAAAAAACTGGACAATATGTTCTTCATTCAAGAATCTCGATTAATTTTCTAGTGATATTATTATTATTATTATCATTTCATGAAAAGACACACTGTGCACATTTTTTGTACTTGTTCATAAAGTAATTATTATTTTCAGCCCGACTGGATGTCAGAGAAGAGACCGAAGAAGTTCCGGAAGCCCATGTTCTTGAGCGAACTGAATTTGGACGTCTCTCGACATGTTTCGGCGCCGAAACAGCAGCTGCCTTGGAACCAATTGAATCTGACTGAAGAACTATCTTTTTTCCACCCTGAATTGTTGCCTCGGAAAAATCAGATTAAATCATGGTTGATTCGGAGAGCGTCTTGTCCGGTTGTTTTCACATGGCAGGACATGGGAGCTGATATCTGGCCTAGATGGCTTCGCTATGGATATTGCCTTGACAGGAAAGGAGAATGTTCTTTCCCTGCCGGTATGGCGTGCAGGCCTGTACAGGGTGCGAAAGTCGATCTGCACGTTTTGCGCTGGGTGTGCAGAAACCGCAAAGGAGATCTTGCATCCAAGAAGAAGAGAAAAGCTTGTGAATGGATAAGAGTAATAACATCTGTTATCGTGGACTGCCAATGCGAATGCTGAATAAATATCATTTGGACCGTTTTTACTTTTCAAAATGTTTTTGGCAGAGGTCGTTCCTGCTTTCTGGCAGAAAAACGCGCGCAGAAAATAGGCGATGTTGGTATGATCCCATTAATCAACAGCTATTTCGATAACCATTAAACGATAAGGAAATATATTCTTCAAAAAGGCAACGGAATTTAACTAATTTAATACAAATGCAACTAAGAAACATATATATAAAAAAAGGAACAAAAATCTTAAAGCCGTCAAATTTTACATTACGCCTAAAGGGGCGGTTTTTTACTGTTTTGTGCGTTACCTTTATTTATTAAATATCCTGTTCTTCGCATTTAAAGCATAAAATTCATTTCAACGGCAATATCGCAAAGTAATTTTAATATGAGCCTATCTCTAGAACTTCCGATACACAGTCTCGCGCGCTAGAGATAAAAATGTTCCCCCTCCCCTCCCCCGGTTACAGTGTAACCATTGCTCGCTTTGAAATCGTTGAGTATTTTAATCAAAAATTCGTTAAAGTGTTACAAAATATGAAATCGATTATAAAACAAATTAGGGCTTCCACATACCCATATTCTACGGAAGATTGCGTTATTCAAATTTTAATAGCTGTAGGTAACGTTGTTTTATCACAATGCGAGACACATACATACATTCATACAGATTCTTCATTATTTAATTTCTTTAAATATAAGACAGAGCGATAGTATATAGTGGCAACGATTTGAAAAGTGATACAGTTTAAGTTTTCGACGCAAAATGCCAAAACGAAATTAATAGTCCTTCAGAGCAAATTACCACTTTGGACTAATAATATATCTAATTAGAAGCATTCAATATTTTTATAGAATTACGTATTGTTTTACTTTTTAAATGTAATAAAAGACATCGAAACGCTCTCATGTTAATCTAATATACTATGCTATTACGCGTGGGCTATGTCTACGGATAATCTCTAATGATTATTCACATTAAACTTTAAAAGAATCCTTCTGGGCGATCGTCAAAATCTGAACTCTCTCAGATTTTTATTTTTTCATTTATTTTTATTGTTAGCTCTAAGGAAAGCTCTAAGAAACCATATTTTAATCTGTGAATATGTATTCAAGTTCCCCCCCCCCCAGTTTGACACAGTATTCACAATATCAAACTAGTTCTGATGAACAATGAGTAACTCTAATAAAATTAAATTCTATTTACAAAATGTTCGTACCTTTCAGTACAACATATAATTCTGCTTAAATCGCAATAACATTTCAAATTTGCATTCATTTTTCTTTTATTTGTTGCATAGTTTTTCTCTCTGCAAAATAACAGCATTCATAATATTTTAAGTAGTATAGTATATTTAAGCTTGGATAATTAAATGAATCTGGACTAAATGTTATTTCTTCAACAGATGTAAAATATAGATATTGTTACGAAATGTACAGGCGCGGTAAGATGGCTTCCCCGCAAAACAGTTTTACGGTTGCGATAAAACGGCTAGGGAAGGGTTGCCACATTTGGCGAGAAATCGCCCATTTGATCACCAAAAAAAAAAAGCGCAACAATATAATAATAATATGTAATTGCATAATTTTATTGAGAGCTTTTAAATGAATCTGGATTAAATGTTATTTCTTCATGCAGATGCAAAATATAGATATAATAATAATATGTAATTGCATAATTTTCTTGAGAGCTTTTAAATTACTCTCAATAAATTTATGCAATTGTATTTAAAATTGTAAAGCAATTTTTATTCCAAATGTATAGAAATATATGTTTTTACATCTGAACTGAAACAAATTTAAAATAATAATTACAGTTACTATTTTGCAGTCAATTACCCTTAAATACAAAATGTTACATAACTATCGTATAACTTGTAAATTTAAGAGTGTACCTTTATGATATGAAGAATACTGACAAATATTATTCCTTGAAAACTGAGATCAATATTGATCAGTCGAAGTTTTGCGGAGCATCAAACATGTGTTTGTATTTCTTTCAACCAGGTAGTGAAATCTTCACAATTGCTTGTATTTGATCTAACTTCGCAATGAAAATTTTCAGAAGAAATTCACTATGCTGTAATTATTTTGTACAAGAAATTGCGTGGCAAAATGTTTTCAACTATCTTGCTTTAAAGCGGATAAAGGTATTTGACATGATAGAAATATTACTCGAAGCCCATTGGTCAATCTTAGAAGCCACTCCCTTGTTGGCTACACAGATGTGCCCTTGTGAAATGTGTGAACGGGAGATCTAGAACTGTCCTTTTTTTTAGTCGAAAGGGGCTTTGTTCCTGAAGGACTATTGCTTTCATTTTGCGTTGGTTCACTATAAATGTCCGTTTCACTTTTCAAATTGTTGCCAGCGAATGTTAGAGTCCTGCATTATATTTGAAGAAATTAAATAAACATTTGGTATTTGTTTTATTATCGATTTCATATTTTGTAAAAAACTTTAACGAATTCTTGATTAACAAACTCAAGGATTTCAAAGCGAGCAATAGCAACGTTGTACAGAAAAAAAACATTTTTCAACTCCACCGCGCGAGACTCTGTATCGGAAATTCTGAAGGTATGCTCAATTTAAAATTATTTTGCGATATTGCTGTTGAGCTGAATTTTATGGTTTAAGTGTGAAGAACGTGATATTTAATAAATAAAGGTAACACATAAAATGATAAATAAACGCCCCTTTGGACGTAATTTAAAATCTGAACCTTTCAGCTTTTCTTTTCTCCACCCACCCCCCGCAATGTACGTATACTTCTTAAGTTGACGTGTATCTTTTCACAGGACTTTTATTTCCCTATTAAAGGTACAACTTGGCTAATGGATAAATAACATTAATATGTGATTTAAGTAACTGTTAAGATTTAATGAATTTTTACGGTTGCGATAAAACGGCTAGGGAAGGGTTGCCACATTTGGCGAGAAATCGCCCATTTGATCACCAAAAAAAAAGCGCAACAATATAATAATAATATGTAATTGCATAATTTTATTGAGAGCTTTTAAATGAATCTGGATTAAATGTTATTTCTTCATGCAGATGCAAAATATAGATATAATAATAATATGTAATTGCATAATTTTCTTGAGAGCTTTTAAATTACTCTCAATAAATTTATGCAATTGTATTTAAAATTGTAAAGCAATTTTTATTCCAAATGTATAGAAATATATGTTTCTATACATTTGGAAGATTACGACCAAATGTATAGAAACATATATTTCTATACATTTGGAACAGATTACGACCTTTCACACAACATACAATACTCCAACTTTTATGAAGTGTCTCGATATACCGTTTTTTCTGATCACACCAATGCTGTCTAGAATAACATATAAATAACTTGGTATCGAAATAACATGTTTGCTTTTTACCAGCTGGTGATCTGATTGCACGAAAAAGAATACCGGAATTCACGAAGTTTGTTAGAGTCATAGACAGACAAAGAATATTTACTTTGTTTACCCAAAAATGTTTGCATATTTATTGCTTGTATAAATTTAAAAAATAATTTTGCCAATCAGATGTACTTGTACATAGTCATTGCTTTCATTAATTTTATTTTGATTGTGACTGTGTTTGCTATATATGTATAGGGTTTTAATCCATATGAATCCCAAAATAAAATGTGTTGTTACTTTATTGTTCAATTATTTGTTATTAATTTAATTAATTTATTTTTTATTTTATCGTTTTTCAAGAATCTGCTTCGTATAATTGAAAAATGAGCTGTTTACACCACTTGACTTCCTTGTACGGAATATTAAATTATACGCAATTTTCCTGCATTTCATTTAAACATATTGAAGTAACAGTTAACGAATTTTGAACTAAATATACTTCGTCGATAGCGCATAAACCACATTAGAATAAATGCACTCTTTAAAGTTCATTATATTTATTTATCATAGCGACACTTAGAAGCCACTCATAGCACACTTAGACGCTAGGTTCACTTAACAACATTACATCTCATTCATTTTATAACTCGGAGCGCACAAAAATTACATCATCTGATAATTACCACAAGTTCTATTCAAATACTATAATAAATCTAAAACGTATAAAAGTAATTAAACAAATAAAAAGGAAACAGTTTTTCATACAGGATTCAGCGCCCCTTACCTAATGCGCATGCTCTACTAATAAATTCGATTCTCACTTCGCTACATAAAAATACATAAAAAATCAAAATACAAAATATTTCATTAAAATTTGAAAGATATAAAAAAACATAAAACACAAAGTGCAGTTAAAAAAATTTAAACAAGTTTTACAATTAAAATTACAGTTTCTGCGTCAAAACAAGCTAATTACTTAAATGCTAATTCTAGAATGAATTAAGCATAATTTAATTCGCAATAATAAAAGAGGACGTTTCTTTGTGGTTGCGAAGCTTAGTTCCTCCAGATTGGCAACAAATCCACTATTCTACTAAGTTTCAAATCTAAACAAACATAGCCGCCATGATAAAAATAATTAGGCTTTGCCGCACTTAAACAAATTTTAAATTACTAATTCAGAAGTCAAACAACAAAAATCAGCGTAATATTTAAAAAATTTTCACAGGACTAGTTTCGATGCTTTTACCGAACCACCATCCTCAGCTGCAAAATCGTTATGAACAAGACAGGAAATAATGATTAGATAAGATAAGAAAACCTGGACAAGAATAAGCAAGTGGCGCCATCTGTTGGTGAAACTAGAACTAAAACATAATTTCTTTAAAGGCTGAAGGCAAATTTGGATTGGAATTAGGATCGTTAACTAGAACAGAAAGATTTTATGAATGTGAAATGCCTCTAGAAAATGCAGTTCTCCAATGGAAGATGTTTTTTGAATAGCTTTGGCAGCAGAGAAATTGAAAGTGTGATTTTCGGACCAACAATGTTGAGCAACAGAAGACTTCTGTGTTTCCTTTTTTCTAACATATGCCTCATATTCCTTGACGCGAAATTTTAAGGCTCTCTTAGTTTGGCCAATGTAAATTAAACCACACTGGCAAGGAATCCTATAAATACCCCAGGAATTCATATCCGGAATAGAGTCTTTGAGTATGAAACTCGGAATTTATTGATGGGAGAATAAACAACCCGAAAGTAAATTTCTGCAAATATGTGCACTTTATAGCTAATTGATGGAAAGAAGGGAATGACAACAGATTTTTATAATCTCTAAAACAGAGTGTGCCTTTTAGTGTGTTGAGATGAGAATTTTTAACTGCTTGATAATAATGTTGGGTTGAAAAGCCCCT